CTCAATCAGTAACAAAATCATTGGTTCGTCCATTAATCCAACAAGGACTTGCCAACGGTGATCCTGATATGGATGCAATATACCGATTGACTCGTAGTTATCGTCACAAACGTATTAATATTGAATTCGGTAAACTACCACCGGTAGCAATTCCTGCAGGCTTATTAGTACCATTTAACAGCCAAAATACTTTATTTCATTACGATTCATTTTGGGCTTTATGGCTGCCGACAACAACAAATTTTCGTGTTTGCGATATTTGGCGAGGATATTTTGCGCAAAGACTGTTGTGGGAAATTGAGTCATCATTAACGTTCCATCCGGCTTCAGTATTTCAGGATAGAAATCCACATAATTATCTGTTTGATTTCATCGATGAATTACCATTGTATGAGGATGCAGAGCGGTTGATCGATTTTTTGAGGCAATGGAAATGCAGTACAGGAGGTTCGTATAAATTCGGTAGTCGTCAATGTACTCAATTTTTTGATCGAATCTACTGGTTAGCCATTGATATGGTTGAACAAAAATTTTGGAAAATGAAAGATGTTTGGTTATGTACAAGATATTTGACTGATTTAATTTCTCTTGGATATCAGACTGACCATTTAAATTTGAATCAAAAAGAGTGGACATTATACCAGATCAAAGAGGAAAACTCCACTCAGTTTTTTCCGCAACAATCAAGTCCACTTCTAACACAATCATTGAAAGATAATACTTGCACATCCCGTGTTGCCGTTTGTGTTAGTGGTCAACCTCGGACGCTAAACATGACACTTCCTGTTTCTCTTAGCGTGATAAGATATGCTCCAACGTTGTATAATTCAGGACCAATTAAGACGCATATAGATTCTAACCTTACCAATGCCGACAATATCCAAGCATTTTTGTTTGAGAATTTACCAGCGTTTGATGTTTTTATGTATGTATCAACAACTGAAAATCATCCACGATTACCGCGCGTAGGTGATACATCCGTATGCGAACTATTGCGGCCGAAACTTGTTTCAAATAAATTGTTATGTGAGATTGTAAAAGAGAGGCCAATAAATTTAACCAGCGCACCGATATTTTTAAATTATTATTATTCTAGCCTATCGCTGAAACAGGGATTCCTACAGCAACTGGATGGAATGAAACAATGCAACAGAATGCGTAAGGAATACAGCATTCGTACCGGAACTAAATACACACATTTTATTCGTTTACGACCGGAC